ATGTGCCGCTTGAAGACCGTTTGAAAATTGTAAGAACTGCCCCAAAGTACAAAAATTTATTTCCCTGCCCGATCGAGTTGCCCCACGTGCCGCTTACAGACCGATAGTAACTATTCAAAAAGGAAATTTTGCCCTATATGCCGCTTGAAGACCGTTTGAAAATTGTAAGAACTGCCCCAAACACACAAAAATCTGTTTGCCTGCCCGATCGAGTTGCCCTACGTGCGGCTTACAGACCGATAGTAACTATTCAAAAAAGAAATTTATGCCCTATGTGCTGCTTGAAGACCGTTTGAAAATTGTAAGAACTGCCCCAAAGTACAAAAATTTATTTCCCTGCCCGATCGAGTTGCCCTACGTGCCGCTTACAGACCGATAGTAACTATTCAAAAAAGAAATTTATGCCCTATGTGCCGCTTGAAGCCCGTTCAAAAATTTTAAGAACTGCCCCAAACGTACAAAAATCTATTTCCCTTCCCGATCGAGTTGCCCTACGTGCCGCTTACAGACCGATAGTAACTATTCAAAAAAGAATTCTATGCCCTATGTGCCGCTTGAAGACCGTTCAAAAATTATAAGAACTGCCCCAAACGTACAAAAATCTATTTCCCTGCCCGATCGAGTTGCCCTACGTGCCACTTACAGACCGATAGTAAGTATTCAAAAAGGAAATTTATGCCCTATGTGCCGCTTGAAGACCGTTTGAAAATTGTAAGAGCTGCCCCAAAGTACAAAAATTTATTTCCCTGCCCGATCGAGTTGCCCTACGTGCCGCTTACAGACCGATAGTAAGTATTCAAAAAGGAAATTTTGCCCTATATGCCGCTTGAAGACCGTTTAAAAATTGTAAGAACTGCCCCAAACACACAAAAATCTGTTTCCCTGCGCGATCGAGTTGCCCTACGTGCCGCTTACAGACCGATAGTAACTATTCAAAAGAAATTTATGCCCTATGTGCCGCTTGAAGACCGTTTGAAAATTGTAAGAACTGCCCCAAAGTACAAAAATTTATTTCCCTGCCCGATCGAGTTGCCCCACGTGCCGCTTACAGACCGATAGTAACTAATCAAAAAGGAAATTTTGCCCTATATGCCGCTTGAAGACCGTTTGAAAATTGTAAGAACTGCCCCAAACACACAAAAATCTGTTTCCCTGCGCGATCGAGTTGCCCTACGTGCCGCTTACAGACCGATAGTAACTATTCAAAAAAGAAATCTATGCCCTATGTGCCGCTTGAAGACCGTTCAAAAATTATAAGAACTGCCCCAAACGTACAAAAATCTATTTCCCTGCCCGATCGAGTTGCCCTACGTGCCGCTTACAGACCGATAGTAACTATTCAAAAAAGAATTCTATGCCCTATGTGCCGCTTGAAGACCGTTCAAAAATTATAAGAACTGCCCCAGACGTACAAAAATCTATTTCCCTGCCCGATCGAGTTGCCCTACGTGCCACTTACACACCGATACCTAGTTCAAGCACCAGCGGGACCCAGTTACACAAGCAAAGCAAGGTTGTTGTTAAATAAACGCTTTCAAAAGTACCAGCGTGGCCAAGTTACTCATGCCTCTCTTTTCTACACGCGGAAGCAAATTGATTCTAAAGTGACTGTTCTTAGTTAGAGCATTTTTACCAAGAGTTGAGAATATAGATAAATTCAGCTCAAGTCAAGCTGTTCGCAATTTGGCATCATTTCAAAAGTACCTAACAGGAATACAACACATTTGAAAGACACATTTTAGGATAACAAGCTCGAAAAAAGTAGGTATAACAATCCGGACACTGGCGACCCAGTCTCTCATTGCGACACTCATGATTGCTTTTCGAAACACGTGTAACCCGTTTACGAAAATACAGTTTGCCCCAATCGGGACCAGGCCGAACCCTCGGCTGAATTTGCGCGCTCGCAGCGCTAGGGGTTTGCGCTGCATACGCGCGCTGTCGCAGAGAGCGAAGAGATTGTGGAGAGAGCAGACTAGCTAGACGCAGAAGTGGCGCGAAACCCTCGCGACGCGCACTCCCGCCAAGCCAATTTTGGCCTGGTTAGGATTGGGGCAGACTGTACGCTTAGTCACTCGTTATGAAATTTGGCAGCGTTCCAAAACGCATGCCACTTGGCAGCAATCCAATTCCAAAGATCAGGGTATTTCATCATAATTTTTACGTCTGCGGCCTCCTCGTTTGCCATGATCCAACTATCGGCGGCTTAGTGGGTAAACAACGAATTCGTTATATATTACGTAGTGATACTCATAGCCCAAATTCGGAGCCATGTGATTGTTTGTGCGCTGTAAACAAACCATTTGTTTGTTTGAGTCTTGCATTTGATATTCGCGCGCTTGCGAAAGAACGCGTTCAACTCGTGAAACCTGACATGTTCGTCGTGTTCTTTTTTCAGGGCCTCATAAAAACGATGTCCCCGTTGCTTCTAACTCCAAAAACGAACTCCAGTTTGACCCCAAACCATCGGTGCCGGGCCCTGGCTGCTACCTATGGTGTATTTGAAAACGCATGACCAGGTAATCAAACATAAACTCGCTTTATGCTGATGAATACAGGTTCAATCCCCTCCCCCTCGCTTCCATATACAGAGTGGATTAGGAAATTCATGTTCAAGAAGCTTAGACCAGATTTAATTAAGGCATAGGGAGAGTAGTGAAGCTCCAAATCGTTTCTTCGCTGCAGATGACTTCTGACGCGTAAAAAATTTAAGGAAAAAATTTCAAAGAACATGCACCACGTCTCTCCACGCTGATGTCTAGGACAACCACTAGTCCAAAGAATATTGCGTCACTTATTTGACGAAGTTTTCACATGTATTTTTTATAGAGATCAATACATGTACTTCATATTTGATGTCATTTGACTGGTGGAGTTGTAAAAAGCTCAGTCATGCCCCCGAAAATTTTACAAGGCTAATTTGAATTTTCAACAAATTTTAAAATTATTTTAATTATTTACAGAAATAAACAATTCATTTGCACATTTTTATACCCATGTAGGCAAGTTTCAAAAATTTCGCGACTTCGCGACCCATTATACACTATACATATATTAGGTCGTTTCAAAAGTAATTTCGCTTTCTTCAAAAGGGCGCCACATTTGATGGAACAAGGGTTTCTAAGAGGTCTTGGAAGCATTCGATGCAAAATTTTATTCTCTTTCTAATGGTTATGAAATTGTTGCAAAACAGTCAATGAGCTTTCAGAAAATAACCAAAATCTGCGACCCATGCTTTTTGAGATGGTCAAGTTTCACGATTTTCTAAAACTTTCATATCAATCCTCAGAAGGAGTTCAAGTAACATGTTTATAGAGCAAACCTCAAAGAATGCAAAACTACTTTTTTCACCTTTCCATAGCTTGTCATACATTTTTAACAGAATTTTAAGTGATGCTACCGATTTCCATACTTGGGCAGCTAAATCCTCGTAGAAGATCAAAAGAAGAGCAGCTCGCGCACTCTTCGATGCAGCATTTTCTCCTCTTTCTAACAGGAGTTTTTCGTTTCCGATTCGTTTAGTTTCCGGGGAGAAATCATCATAACTCATTTTTTAGCGAGCCCCAGGCTGTACCCGAAAAACTGGAATGATATTTCGAACCCGTAAACCCTCACTTGCTCTGTAAAGTTAATGCTAACTCATAGCACCATCTTGGTAGTCTCAAATTCCGAAAAATTATGATGTTTGATGCGATTGTGGTTGAGGTGGGCCTGCCAAAATCCGATGGTTTTGTTGAAAAATCTTTTAGAAAATTACGCCGAGCTAAAGAAAGAGAAAAAAGTGATACTGTATTCTAAAAGGTCTACTCTATCGAATCGTTACTTGAACTCCTTCTGGGGATTGATATAGAATTTTTAAGAAATCGTGAAACTTGACCATCTCAAAAAGCAGGGCTCGCAGATTTTGGTTATTTTCTGAAAGCTCATTAAATGTTTTGCAACAATTTCATAACCATTAAAAAGAGAATAGAATTTTGCATCGAATGCTTCCAAGATCTCTTAGAAATCCTTGTTCCATCAAATGTGGCGCCCGTTTGAAAAAAGCGAAATTACTTTTAAAACGACCTATTAATATACAGGGTGTCCGTAAAGTATGTATACACTGTTTGATCGTTAATATCTTTCTTCCCAACAAGTCTTTTGCCTTGCGTCAGGCACCGTTTTGTAGAGCTGGCTTCGGCTTAGATCTAAAGTGTGGGCGAATCATCGCTCGCTCTTCGTTACTGTAGGATTATGGTACGAACTTCAACAAAGATTTTAGGCCACTGGAGGCTATATTCTGACTCGGAATAATACTAAACAAGCCAAAAACTCTTATACTATGGTAATAGGAGCCGCTGATTTCGAATTTGAAATTCCCATTTTACTGTGATGATCCTTTCCTAAGTTATCCCCGATAAATCGTTGTAACTCAGTTCCCAGCATTTGTCAGAAATGTAATTACACCGTCAAAAAAGCCGAAAACACTCGTAAAAAGTTGTTAAGTGGAAGCAGCATGCGCAAAACCCTGTACACGATTTTTCAGATTTTTTGAAGAAAGTTTTGTTAGGTTATATATTTCACATTGGTTCCATATGTTGGAAGTTCGTACCGTAATCCTACAGTAATGAAAAGCGATAGATGATTCGCTCCATACGATGAATCTAAGTTGAAGCCAGTTCTAGAAAATGGTACCTGAAGCAATGCAAAAGACTTGTTGGGAAGAAAGATATTCGATCAAACAGTGTATACATACTTTACGGACACTCTGTATAGAAGAGTTTCACGTCGGCTTGATTTGTGTTAAGAGAAGCGAAGCTAGTCAAATGATTCCATGACTTTTGTGCCATGGTTCCTCCTTCCCCCTCCACCCCGTGCACCGCACACACAAACAGTTACACCCCACTTCCCTGTTTTAAAGTACAAACTAATTCTCAATACTCAAAGCTCACCGCTATCGTTATGTTGTACATCCATAGCCGATTTCTTGCCGTATCATTGCCGATTCCAAACGGCAGAGGAAATTGATGGTCAGAGACAATTCCAAAAAAGAATCGTCCGAGCGTATTACATAATCCTGCAAATGATGGAATTCATGGATAAGTTGATGAGTGTCAAGTAATAAGGAGATAGGATACCGTAAACCGATATGACTTGTGAAGATCGTGTCGAGTCAAGCCCTACTCCTCTAGTGGCATGCATAGGCAGGAAGTACAATGGAGAGTTGAAACCAACAGGTGTCAAGAGATTGGAGATGGCAAAAACCAAAAATATCGGATCAGTCATCAAGGACAAAGAAAGCATGTTGCTCTTGCTCCTGAAGGAACGCAAAACCGAGTTTGAAAAATCTGTTAATGCTGATGAAACTCACGTCAAGGGAGTTTCGCTTTCAACAGCAGAAGTTTCGGGAACCTCAGCGTCTGTTTGAGCACTGGCGGCTTTTACAGCAGTCTCCAAGCTATCATCATTCACCCTGAGTAGTTCGTCTTTGCATCCTCATTCTAACGATAAGAGACTTACTATGCCGATCCGGCTTTTCCCAGTGTAAATAGAACACACCATTCGATGCATCTCGTTGCGCTGATGCTAACTTCGAAACTGCTGAGCTTTTCTCCAAAAAGTCAAGTGTTTTTCTGCGAAATTTGCGTGAGTTATTATAAATAAAGTCACTAAGATTGTTGGAAATACCCGATCTATGTTTTAAAGGGAGGTTTACGGGAAAGGAAAATGTAAAGGAAATTGTACGATACAAACTAGAATAGTAGAATGAGACCGAAATAATTGGGTATCGGCTGTTTTCACTAGGTCACAGCATGCAAAAATCCCCAAGGAAAAATGCCCATATCTTCCTTTCGAAAACTGCTACGTAGCTATCCAATACAGATTCAGAATCAGCCATGGAGCTGCATCAGAAATGCACCACGGAAAGGCCGATTCGACTTGGCATCCTTTTCTCGAAGAATATATGGTCATCACCGAAACTCGAGGGAAGAACGTTCTTTTTTCGAAGGAATGCAACTACGAAGCCCTAAATCAGAGAGTGGCCTATCCGAATCTACTTATTGTTAGATACTCCAACAAAGACGAGCCCTCTTGGTGCCTTTGAAAAACAGGAGGACGTACTCCTCTTGATAGTTCTGTCATTTTATGGAAAGTCACTGAGGAATGAGTCAAAAATTACAAAATGCATTTCTCAGCAGGAATTTTTTTAGAGGATGGGCAGATCCTTGCAGAATCTTTCCACTGTTTGCAATTTTGCAAAAAACTAACTCTTCTACTTTTATTTTTTGCGCTTCATTCCTAATGCAGTATGTTCCTGACGATGGATGATATCTTAAGGTGCAACAAAAGTTCAATGCGTCGGGAATGGCACACAAGCGCCGAAAACGATCCCCTCCCCCCCCCCCACCCCATCTTTTGTCTCAATACCCCCTCCCCCTCCCCCCACCAGTATTATCGTCTGCCAACCTAGGCGTGACAAGGACATGCAAAGGCTCTACCATGCGTAATTCGGCGCATATCCGTAATTATCAGTTAACACGTTGACGACGAGCCATTTTTTGAAGGTCTGTCCCTGTGGACGAACCGTTTCCGGGCATTTTCACAGCCGGCTGCACATATATATGCATGCATCTATGCGTGAGATACACAACTGCAAGTGGCGGGGCACTTTTGGCAAGCCCCGCCCACTTCTCAAAAATGCTGGAAATTGCTTAAAATCAATGAATTCGTGCAAATTCCGGCATTGTTGAAAAGTGGACGGAGCTTGCCACCGAGGGAGTGGAGCCTGCATTACGGGGGCGGGGTCAAAATTAAGATTATTTGAGGTTCCCCTGTCATCTATGAGCTTTTCTATGCGATTTGAGAACGAAGAAAGTTATTTGTAGAGGGCAATACAGTGGGCGGAGTTTGCCAAAAGGGGGCGGGGTCAACTTGAAATACTTTCGAGCCTGACTTGATTATATGAACACAAATTGGAACCATTGTGCACGTCAAAACTGATGTTTAGGGTGTCGCGCACCAATGCGCGACATCGTCCACAGGGACAGACTGCTTGTCGCGCACCATTGCGCGACACCGTCGTCAACGTGTTAAAAAACCTCCAAGGGCCAAGTTTCAGCAAATTCTGAGGGTTCCCAATAATGGACCACCCAAGTGAAGTGGTCATTTGCAAACATGATTAACTGTATTTCAAAAGTCAATTAGCTAACTATTTTTGCTACTCAATACAAAGCACTACTCACTATTTACTCATACCATGAATCCTGCCTCAAATAACCATCAAGCTATGGAATTAGGAGCAGGCCAAAATCTCGTTTGTCCCACTTCTCGCTTCCAATGGCTGCGTTTCATCAGCTCTTATTCAGAGCAAAGAAGATGAATCAGGCCCAATTTACTCTTATGAAAACTACAAGACTCAGGCTATCAAATTATATCTATTATGTTCGCTAAAATTCTTTGGCGGTAAGTTAATGGGGTTGCCACACCCCATTAACTTACCTCCAAAGCATTCAAATCTCTGTTTTTTTATATGGTTGCTACTGCTAAACCTTCTTTTCCACATAGCAGAAATTCACTCAAAATTGTTTCCCTTAGGAAAAGATAGTTTTTCCTTAACTATGCAAGAAAATGCTGAGAAAATAATGGATTACGGTAATATGCTGAGTCTGCGCTACTACGTTAATCGCGAGGGAAGGCGGCACGATCAAGTATATTCGATAGCCTAATCCTGGTAATTTTCACAGAAGTGGTTTGAGCCTGATTGGTGTTCTACAGTTTGAGATGATGAGAGCGAAAAATGGGACAAACGAGATTTTGGCTTTCTCTCAATCCCAGAGTTCGGAGGTTAGTTGAAGTGGGATTCCTAGAATGAGCAAAAAAGTAGCAGTACTTTGTATTGAGTGCAGGAAGAAGTAGTTTACTCACCTTTGAAACAAAGTTAACATGTTCGAAAATGTCCATCTCACTTGAGTGTCCCAATATTTGAGAACTTCAAAATTCGCTGAAACTTGGCCCACAGGGATTATCGACATGCTATTTACAAAACTGATCTTATGGCTTTAGAATTCTTCTATTATGCTTACTGTACATGTACGACAGTAGGCAAAACACCAGTGCTAGTATCTTGCACAATGGGCCTATCAGACATTATTGACTGACATCATGTCGCTAACATCACTATCACCTGGTAACAACCCCCCCCCCCTCCCTGACCTCTCTACGACCCCCACCCCCAGGTGTAAAGTGTCACACCCCACGCTTGGCCCTCGTTGAGACTTAGTTAACTTTTACAACGAAAATGCATGCAACATTGCTTCAGAGATGATCCGGCACTGTAAACGTTGGCTCAGGAGAAAGCTTGCAGTGTCTGCTCGTAACACCGTATTTTTGTGAATGCACCATTCATAATCTTTCAATATGGGACTCCCAGCAAAGTAGCACTCGAGATTAATGATGCATCGAGCACTCATTTCATCCTATCCACTTTTTTTGATCAGAGACTGGCCAAGATTTCATTGATGTCCCTTTATTGCAGTTTTAGGGTTAGATGCTAATTCGAGCACGTTTTCATAGCTAAGAAATGAGTAAGTAAACACCTCTGGGTATTTCCTGATATCCGTGGCGCCATAATGCCAGCATTATCTTCTGCAGCCATCCATTCCGCTACTGGCACATGGTTTACATTGCATGACTGAATCTGAAACATTTTTAGTTCGACAAAATCTTGATAGTCACGTTGAATATTGCAGATTTTGGCGAAGGCCGACCCTTGATACACTTTCTCTTTAAAGCATCGATAAGGCCAGAATGTCCAAATTTGAACGCGATTAAAATAATAAAAGGTTTTTCTCCTGAATCATTAACTCGAGAACATTTGTAACAAGCACCTTCTTCAGCAGTAATGTTGATGATTAGACGTCCATCATGTTTATCGATTTTTTGAGAAGAGCTCTCACCATCATTACGGAAGGATGAACTCTGTAAGAAAGCTCTAAGGCTTTGGCCATACTTTACCCGCGTTACCCGTGTTAGGTGTTACTACTGTTACTCTTGTTAGTAGTGTTACTAGTGTTACTTGTGTTACTCACCAGTTAATGATATTGCGTTTTGAAGTGAGGCAGGCGCTATACTCCTCGAGGAGTATAGCATGGCGACGGGCGATCGCCCGTCGCTAATCGATACGTATCAAACGTGTAGTCGCCGATATTGGCGATCGCCAGTCGCCAGTGTTGGCGACTACACATTGCTCATTTCCCACTTCCATTTCAAAGTACTCACCAGCCGGTGAGGTCTCCCTAAAAAGAATGAACTGCAAGACCAGTGATTTTCACCAACACTCAAAGGGCCGGGCATACTTCAAGCGATTTCAGTCGCGACGCGATTTGGCAGTATTCCAACTGTCCATAACTCACTGTAAGCACATTTTAAATGTTCACAAAGTAGGAAATTCGAACAATCCACGTAAGTTATACACACCATGCATGTGCAGTTTGCTAATATTGGATCTGAAGACTTCTGGTGAATTGCCAAATCGCGTCGCGACTGAAATCGCGTGAAGTATGCCCGGCCCTTAACGTAACTTGTTTGGCGATTGGCGATCGCCAGTCGTAGCGACTGGCGATCGCCATATCGGCGACAAAAATCGCTGGTTTTACACGTGTTTAATGCATATCGATCGTCGCCATGCTATACTCCTCGAGGAGTATAGCACCTGCCTGAGACTGTAATGTGATCATTTCACTATTCAACATCAATAAAAGCGGCACTAATAACACCAGTAACACGAGCAACACGGGTAACACTAATAACACGAGTAACACTGGTAACACAGGTACTAGGGCACGGGTAACCGGATAAAGTATGGCCAAAGCCTAAGCGAAACTCGTCAGCTGAGATAAGATAGATAAAATTCGTGTAAACAAATTTTGCTTTTGAAAACAACCTCAACTTCCCTTTCCTGGGATCCTTCAACTTTATCTTCAACATCACCTTCTTCATTCACTTCTTTGAAGGATAACGGGCGGAATGCCCAACCACATACAATTGCAACTCCAAGTAGTACTTCAAAAGCAACAAATTAAGCAGGAACAGATACTGGTCAAAAGTTTGAAGGACGAGATGTTGAATAAAGAGAATTTCGATTGTCACCATTGTTAAGTCAAGAAATACCCTGATTTCACGAGTACAAGATGCACCTTTTTCGTTTCGTAAGCAAGCATTCGGACGCGCAACTGTGCCTCGTAAAGGGTCTCCCACACATTTTAAATAAGGAGCAACACGGTAGAGGGTACTTTCGCAAAATAATTTGGTGTGTTTAGGCCAGTCAAGGAGAAAAAAAACAGGTGCGTCTTGTAATCGTATAATAGGCTACGGTTAACATTGGTGGTCTTGGCAACATTGCATGCTTTGTCAATTGTCAACTACCATACCGTCCATAAGCACCATTCAACTCAGCTCGACGATGGATTTTTTGATCTATAGAAGTGCCTGCTTGAGGACAATAGTCGGCCAAAATTATTGATCCTTTCAGTTTCTTGCTTACAGTAGGCTACTCAGAGTGTTCAATCTTCTCACAACAATCAACCCACCGCATGCAAGAATCTGGAAGTATCCGTAAAATTTGGCCGACTATCATGCTCAAACAGCATTTCTATATATAGAAATATGCATCTCATCGAGCTAAGTTGAATGGTGCTTTTACATTCAGAATTCGTCCACGTTAAATCAAGATACGACGATGCAAGGCGAAGTTTGGGGTACTTCGGCGGAGTGCAGTTATTTTTTTCACAAACTACGGGCGGTACTGGACCTTACTTATTTTCTCTAGTATCATGTGAAGTAGCTAGCCTCAGAGGCACTGTCCGAGCAAAATGAGCAGCCGATTCGTAATCAAATAGTTGCCAAAGTTCATCTAAAGGTGTCAGAAAGAGAAACGCTCCAGATACAGACCCCCTCAATGGTGGACTTTGTCTTTGATTAGCAGAGAAATTGCAAAGTGAACCACTAATCCACCTACAATACCGCTCACATAATGAGCAAAATTTCCATAAATATCGCAAAATTCCGAAAATTCCGCGAAATTCCCGGAAATCCGCGAAATTTCGGAAAGTTCGCGAAGTTTCGCGAAATTCCAGGAATTTCGCGGAATTTTCAGAACTTCGCGATATTCACGGAAATTTTGCACATTTTGTGAGCGGTATTGTATAGTAATATCATAAGTGGGCGGGGCTTACAGTTCACAGCTAAAAAGCGAAAAATCGATTTTGGAGATTAGTGAACCACCAAGTCCTCAGAAATTGATAGAATCGATATTCTGAAAGTTGTGAAATCTCGCAAATTGATAAAACTCGATAAAATCAATAATCTGAAGGTTTCGAAATCCCGAAAATTGACAAAAATCGATATCCCAAAAATCGGCAAAATTATCAAAATCGATATTTTGAAGCTTGCGAAATCTCGAAAATTGACAAAAATCGATAAAATCGATATTCTGGAGGTTTCGAAATTTCGGAAATCGGTAAAATTATCGAAAAACTAAGCGAAAAATTCGAAAAACTCCATAATAAGCTCATTTCCAGTGCTTTTATACAGCTGAAACTCCTCCAAGCAAGTCCGTCCACTTTATACCCCACATCACGATCGAAATTGAAGAAAATAAGAAAAATTAAGGAAAAATAAGAAAAAACAAGCGAAAATCGCGTTTTTCTAGCCCGATTTACCCCCTTTCTAGCCGTTTTTTTTTCATCCCCCTAACCAGGTCCAGATGGCCGCGGGTCTATCACACGCGCTGCAGAAATAAAGAGAGGGGAAAAAATGAGGGGGGAGAAAAGTGAGGAATTGCGAGACCCTGAACTAAAAAAGTCCGGGAAGGTTTATAGATAGGCTCCCACAGGCGGAGCCCCTGCATTTTCTCCGAATTATATGTGGTGTCCCCTCGAATTAAAACTGAAGAATGGCTATCCCAGCCTGTTATCCCTACTCTCCACGGAGATAAAATTCAAAATATGCATCATCGCCTTTATATAGCGCCTCCTACGGTGGAGCTACAGCCATGATCTACCCTTAGGAAAATAGAGCTAACAAAAGTACATATTAATGATCACATGTGATTACCCCAACCCTACCACTTGCAGAGATATAAGGGCGCAAACTCGCCTTTATTGACAGATTTCCCAAGTTCAGCTGTCAATTAGGCACTTTTATTGGAAACTTGTTATTATATGACCTTCTCTCTAAAAATCATATTTTTAGAGATCTGTCCAATAAAACAAAATGCAGCCTCATATCTGTAATATTCGCAGAGTTATTAGTCCCCCAACATGCATGCTCAGGCCGTAAAATTAGCTCTCACAAAGTTGCCCCGTAAATCCCCCAAATATCACGTTAGACACCTTCCTCATACCTATAAATCCCATATTTTTTCCAGCTTCTTAGAAGCAATACACACTGATATAACGTGCTCGCTCCTCACTCTTGGCCTCGGCGCAAGATTTGATCAAAATATTGAGGTTCTCGGATTGACCGGAAAATTCGCTCTTAGTGGTTTTTGGTCCCGATCATTACAAAAATCCTATTTATTTTTCACTAGAGAGTCTTAAAGTAAAGCTGAAGTGGGATAGAAGTGGCTCAACTCACCAAAATCGCAAATTCGCCTGCACTTTTTGCCTATCTATTGCGAAAATTGTCCATATATTTTTGTGAGTTCAGAACTTTGTGAACACCTCTACCGGACCATGCTTAGTACAGATCTTTATCTACATTGTTCGTCAGATTATGATGTTACAAAGTCACCTTCTCATGAATTGTCTTTCAAATTCGAAATTCGTGTAAATTGGCAGATATTTTATCCTACAATGTGCCACCAGCAACAAAACAATGTAAGAAATGTTGTTAGCAAGTCGAGTAAACCATGTAAGCGGAAATTATAAGATTTGCTCCATACATGCATTCGAACAGTTATGACTTCAGAATGTGAAAGTTCTCGGCGATGTCGGCGAAGTCGGCAACTTTGCGTTTTTCGCCGATTTTGCCGAATTCGTCGACATCGCCGAATTCGCCGAGAATCTTCAATTCCACTGTCATAACTGTATGGCATTGTCATAATTGTGGAAAAGCTTATAGATCACTTCAGCATGAAGGTTTGGAGGAAAAAAATTACAAGCCGTTTTCAATGTTATCTGCTAGCAGCAGATGAGAAAATTACCGTTTTATCAATTATCAGCCAGATACAATACCGCTCACAGAATGTGCAAAATTTCCGTGAATTTCGCGAAATTCCGAAAATTCCGCGAAATTTCCACGAACTTCCGCAGAATTTCGGGAATTTCGCGGAATTTTCGGAATTTCGCGACAATCACGGAAATTTTGCAAGTTATGTGGGTGGTATTGTAGCTCGTAGGCCGCCCTTGGATGGAGGCACATGCAGATTCCACAAAGAGAGATTCTTTTGACAAGAATTTGGATGCATGCCTGATTAGAAAAGTAAGGTAAAACAAAATATATGAATTTTGTTATGCTTAGCTACCAATGGTGTAACTGCCCATAGAAGCCTGCAAACAAACCGAAATATTCAATAAAAACAAGCGAATGATGCAAAGGTAGAATAGAGTTGAAAGGATAAAAGAGGTAACCGGGCAGCCTACAGAAAATTCAACGTTATTTCCGGCAGGTGTGAAAAGTCCCTATAATGAAACCGTATTGAGCATAATCCTGCGCCTCACTGCAATTTAGATCGTAGACTCCTCCTCACAAACATGTGCTCGCCACCTGAAAAGATATAAAGGCGTGAAGTGGAAATAAAAACGAAAAGAACTCAGCTTGTTCAGCCTTAATCCAGCGTCGACGGCGATGTCGATCGCCGCCAGCGTTTACGACTCAATGACATTGGGCGTGCGCGGCGCAATGCCGTACGCACATCCGACTGTCGCGATCATGCACTCTAATGCAGTTGACTGCACGAAATCGCCAGGGCTGAACGCCCGCGAGCGCATCTCTGGCGCGCTAATATTCACATTCGTGCGCATGAGTCATCATAGTGCCCGTACTCGGCAGCGCGTTGCATGCACGCTCGCGTGCGTTCGGCCTACGGTATAATGGGGAAATTCGAAATTTTTATCGAATGAATGAATATCAAATAAATTCGAAAGTAAAAAATCTCGAATAGGCGAATAGCGAATGAGTTCGAGTTTCAAAAATTTTCGAATGAATAAATCTCGAATAAATTCGGAAAATCAAGAATATCGAATGAATGAATATCGATTATAATCGAACATTGGGAGTCAAATTTCGAATGAATATCCGAATGATTTATAGAATATCTTGGAAAAAAAGTTGCTGATATACCCGAGTAAAGCCGATTTATTCATAATCAGCAAACTCACACCCCTATACAAACTCTCACCCCCGTAGCTCTAGATTCTCGGACCGAAAGTAACCTGTTGAGGTGAAGCTCCTTGTTCTTCCTGGCGTAACTCTTTTCCAAAACATTTTCACAACCAGAACTCCCAGTCTCGTACTTCAAAATTTTTCCATATATCGATAAAATCGACAAAGTAAATTTTATTCATAATCAGCACCCTCACTTACTCCGCTGTACCAGCTCCCCGCCCCCTATCTCAGCGTTGTGCATCATGAGTTTTACAAGCAAGAGCGCTCACTGGTGTGGATGGATCTTCGGACCAAAAGCATGAGCAACGCAAAGGAAATCAAACAGGCATGTCAACACTTCGGGCATATGAACCCGGACCATGAGCTCAAATTCGATAGCTGTTTTTTCTTGCTGATTTAGTGCCAATAGCAGTGCGAACTATCTCATTTACCGAAAAGGCAACCAATCAAAATTTATATCTACTTTTTCACTGTGGCGAGCAGTTGGAAGAATGCGAGTTTCCATAGAGTTCAGAAGTGATCACGCCAAAGATGCTTGTCGACTTCTGCGGAAAACAATGCAGAAGTCGCGAGCTTGACACTCAGCAGTTGGCTGTGCAACAAACTCGACTAATTTGAATGCGGATCTTATCCGAACACGATTCGAATAAAACATTCGAATAAAATTTATTTAGAACCCCTTTTTTTGATTATTCGAATTTTCGATTTTTATTCGAATCCTCGTTTATTGATTATTCGGCATAAACATCATGAATGCAAAACGATAAAGGACTACGTGGTACGGTGAATTCAGAAATAGAAGTTAAGAAAAGAAAGAAGAAGAGAAAAGAAAGGGAAACGATGAGAAGAGATCATTACGCCTCAACATAGCGCGCTAACATGTGTTCTATGCGCTAGTCTACTGCACGTAGAATGAAAAGATCCATCGAGGCTTGCGGTTGTGTAAACGCGGAATTATCAGTTTTCTACGAGGAACACAAAATGCTCATAAGGCTAGCATACGGGCACGTTTGGAAAAAAGCGTCATTAGATAAACGCCAAAAATAAGACTTTCATGTATTTTGTTTTACCCTTTAGTGCGCTGGACTTTCATCTCTCATGCCCGTGCAATGCTGCTACTCCAACATGCGAGATTTTGAGGACTCACTACATGACAGACGATGTACTAAGCCTCTAAGTACACTTTACAACTGTGTGCACGTGCGTGTCCAGCCAGTAACCTCAGCCCTCAGGGCTCGGGTTGCATTATCCACTTCGAAGTTACTTCGATTACATGGCTCACATCTGTCGGCAACATGTTTGCTGACGGTCGCTTTCAGCGCATGTGACACCATTTCACTGCTATTTTATTTGATTAATTGGCCCCTTTGAGTATCGCACTAAAGCAGCATTTGTTCTTCTGTCTGAATACCATCAAATTTTTTTAAAACATGTAAATATGTAAAAATTCTAGTTCCGATACACTCTCAGACATCGTGGTAGCGTGGAGATAACAACTTATCAATGAGGCGGCAGAGCTTACCATCCGAGCTTTTGCTCGGAATTGATCGAACTCTGGTAAGATATTCAACATACTGAATACGTGCTCCTACGTGTGACAATAACATTTCAAAATTAATAAATTACGAATGTCAAGCGGGGTCGTGCATAGCAGTTCTGTACTAGGGAGTGTTGATTGAAATATTATCTGATATTAGTAAATCTGATTAATCTTCGTCTGTCGCAGAAAAGATTCAATTTTCACTTTTGGTCTTTTAAATTCAGTCGTTAGCGCAGTTTTCCAAAAAATGTATTGAACGTTTGTTCGCAAATCTCTTGTCAGAACTGTTTGCAGAACGTTATGTAGCATATCGTGGAGCTGGATTCAATTTAGATTGACAGTGCAAAATATATCACCTAATGCTTATATTTTTGTAAAGTTACAATAGGTGTTTCCAGCTCAAGAGTTTTAGCAAATCATCCTGCCATTTCAAAAAAATTTTCAAAGTTCTTATGTTGAGAGTGCCAAACTAGCTGGTTCAACGATTCACTTTGTAGCGGTTGCGGAGCATTTGAGATAATATACAAGTGTTGAGTGCTGGCCAATGTTACGCTGCCACTTTATAATATACCTATCGTAACTTCTAAATTAGACTGAAGCGAAATTCATATTGATAACTGGTAACAATGTTTCCAGCTTTTAACAAGCTTTCTTTTTGAGACAATATAGGCTTGTTTGGCACAAAACACTCAGAAGTTCTTACCACCTTCGTGCGGTAACAAAAGAAATTATGATACATTTTTCATTGCATTTCAAACTTACATTTTGGTTAAGGGTTTTTTCTGATCGGCCCGAAATGATAAAAAAGAAAGAAGATTTCGCATCAAACTTTGTAATTATAAACTTTGGTTTCGGGCGGATGTCATCATTAAGCCTTTTCAAAATAGATCATTTAGCGATCGATTTATATATTTTTTTCCCAGCTTTTCATTTATGACCGCCATAAAATGATAGCTTCAGAACTTTCGACTTAAACCCTGCGTATACGAACTTCGGGGAGGGGCGGATGTCATTAAGCTTTTCCATAAAAAAATTATTGATTGGCTTTATTAATTTATTGCTATTTGTATTTTATTTGGTTCATTAATAAAATGAAATGCTCAAAAATTTCGAGATTTCCGCCCCAACTGTTCTACAAAAGCTTCTAGGACAAGCTACTAGCAATTGAACATTCGATACATTTTTTTAAGCACTCGAGCACTCTGTATCCCCCTTTTTTCTTTCGAAAAAAAGGACTTCAAACGAGGGTAATGATTCATGCAGCTTCGCTGCAAGCTAGCTTTGACAAATTTGATCCTTTGTCAAGAGGAGCCAGCACAAGAATGAAAATCAAATAGAAGCAAACTACACAAAACAGCTAAATTTCGCTCTGTACTTTGTTAGAAAAATCAAAGAAGAAATTCAAAAGTTTTGAAAACGGTCAATGACATCTGCCTCAATCATATGGAGCTTTTAATCATATTAACACAATTTAGTAATCAACGCCCTCAAAGAACGCAGCTTTCAGCAGCTCACCAAGTGTTTTCTATCACCGAGACACCTGCTCCATAGCCGCATGTGTGTCATATGCTGTTTCTCCTCTCTTTATCACCTTTAGACTAGTAACACATTGATTTCTAAATGTCTAAAAAAGATCTCGCGTTGCAGATTTTCGTATATATCGATGCTTCAAAAACAGTTTCAAATTTATGTACTTTTGAAGACACCCTAGGCATGATGCTGATAATGCTGATAATAATGCTGATAATACACATGATCGTGCCAAATCTTTTCTGGAGTTTTTTGGGAGACGACAAGTTTAAACATTCAGTTACCTGTTCTTCAAACTGTGTCAGACTGAAACTATTTCTAGCAAACTTATTGGTTCCAAAAAGAATGTGTTATTTTTACGCTACCAAATCACATTTGCGCAGCAACCTCATATGCTATTCGCAGAGCAAATAACCACTACAAAACATTAGGCATGGATATACAGTACCCGTCGGTGCCGCCGTTGAATTTTGCGAAATAAACGCTATATCAAGTCGAAAGCGCCGCTTGAATGTAACTCTCCTAATAGTCAGATTTCAAGAAAGAAAGGCATACATTTTGAAAGAGATTTTAATTGAACCAAAAATGCACATGTCTTTTGCACAATCAACTTTAGCTAATGCCAAAGTTAGAGGTCACGATCTTGAATAATGCCAGCTCACGATTAATTCTACAACATGACTCAAGTCTGGAGTCTTATCTGTTCTGCACAATTTATCTCCCGCGCATGAACTGATTGCCTTTCTGAAAGTATTTCTGATGTGGCTTTGCGGGATCCGTAAAAATCACAGTGAGTTTTTGACAAATACCCAGACTGGAAATAAACGAATACTAAAATGGCCGACTCTCTACGAAGTGGTAATTGTAGTGGTTCATGGAAGATTTCGATATCCTAAGATTTCATTTCTGCTATAAACATGTTTAGAAGTGCCGTGTTAGATCCCCTGCACAACTTTACGGCGTTTCATTGCGTTTTTAGGAAAAAATGACTTAAAATATGAGAGGTGATACCCTGAGGATCCCCACGGGATCACACAAAATAGTGGAAATCTAATCTTGGCAGTAACCTGGCATCCGCTGTGCGCAGGTATCAGGGTATGAGAACCTTTATAAGTTAGATAGGGAAGAAACAAGAAAGATATCTAGAGTAGAGAGATATGACGCGTTCGCTCTCGGATCCCCTCCCTTCCCCGCTGGGATGTACGTGCATATTGCTTAAGAAAACCGAGTTTCCTAAATTCTATCCATTATCTCCTTCTGAACAGAGAGAAATTGTCGCGGAATTTCTCTGCTTTCTTTGTTACTGCTTACTGAGCTGAACGCAATAATCTAAGTGAGATTTTAATCTAAGTGAGATTTTGTCGTTCAAATAATCGTTTTGTTTAATTCCTTGAAAGTAATTAGAACATTGATCATACGGAACTCGTTTGCGACAAATTTGCATTGATGCAAAAAGTCATTTTTTGTGTTTTTGTTTGCTTTTGTTCAAAGCAGCCAGAACAATCAACATTATCAGCATGCATTAAATGTTCCTCCATGCCTAGTCCTACAATCTGAATCAACTGCTGCCCTTTTTTTCATCAATGAGCTACATCGTATTTCATCAACAAATTTGCTAAGATGTGAAGCAGCAATACGTCATTCGTGTTCTTGTATGTGACTGATTCGTAGTTATAATAAAGAACACAACATTGATTGACTTGACAATGAAATGGTGTAACAAATGAGAGCTCAGTGGAAGGCTGCGCTTGTTCGATTATGCACCTGTCTACTCAGTGGGTTCACTTCGTAACGTTCTTGTATTTTTTCACTGTTAACAAAATCGGACTTCAAATTCAAAATTTCCACTTCAAGGTGGATCTGATTTGATTCGGGATGAGTAAGCGGTTTTGATGGTCATCAGCTCGCTCCAAAAACAAGAAAAACATCTCACTACAACAAACTTTGCATTCGCAATTGACGTCAACCAATTTTGTTTCCCTGTATTCGCAGCTTGCTCAACCCATATTCATCTTTGAAGGTTTTGATATTAAGGCATTATTGTACGTACATAATTTATCTATATCGTATGCAAGTCCTCCTCCTTATTTCTGTCTTCTAAACTGCGGCAAATTTGTCTAGTTTTACAAAAAAAAAACCCAACTAGCAATCAATTCAGAAATCCTAGCTTATTGTGTTCAGTGATTTAGCAATAAGCAATAGCTCCAGTTCCCATTCTCACTCATATTATGTTCAGGACCCAGAAATGCAAGCAGCACCAACAGCTCGGACTGATGAAAAGGATCAATATAGGACTTGCTGCGCCGTTTGTCACATCAAATTCGGTATCACTTTTTTTTAGCTTGGATTTTGATTTATATCTCTTTCGTTGTGGCTAAAAACGATAAAAACCCTGTAAACTGAGAAGAATGAAGAATGAATGTCTGTAGTTGTAGAAGTTTGAACGAGAAAGTTTTGTCCTCAAAAGTGACTTCATAGAATGATATTTATAACTGTTGTTCTGGACTATCTCAATTAGTGACGGCGCAGGATTTCCGTTCGAGGGGGGGGGGGGGGGCGAGGACAAAAAATTTTCTCGAGGAGAAGTGCGTGCTTTTAGCCACGCACTCGGAAATATTTTTAGAGACGCTTCCAAAATTTTTTGCCAGCCCATGACCACGACCACTCGGCAAAATATTTTTAACAAAGCTACATAAATTGAATTTCTAAAAAATTTCATGAAATGTTTCAATTAATTACCATATAAACAAGTCGTTTGCACACCCCCCCTCCCCCTCCCGTTCTCGGTCCGCCACTGCTTTCTATCATAGATTTGGGTGAGAACAAGCGCAAAGTGTTTCTGTGCAGTCAACGAACTTGCTTCAATGAAAACTGACCTCTATGATCTTGTTTACCCTCAGACAAGGTAAAAGCGTGAATAATTGCTAGTTTTCTTGACTTTCGCTTTATCTAAGTCAACATCTGAAATATTTCGCTGCTTGGATCGCAAGAAATCGCCAACTCAGTGTTGATCAAGGCCTCCTTTTTCTGGTGAGCTGAGTATCATTTTGGAGGCTCGAGGAGGTTTAAGCTGACACGAATCCCGGGGCATTATCGACTTTTCTACAACCGTGGTTGGAAATACTTACCCAAAGATCTCAAGAGCTATACGTAGTCGATCATCAAGTGCAAAAAACGCAGAATATCTGATAAAATATTGGAATTCATTGTCTCATAAAATATTTGCATCATATACATATGTAGACACCAGTGGCATACCGAGGGGAGGGGGGGGGGGGGAGACCCCCTTCCGAGAATGGGTCGCGAAATTTCTGAAAGTTACTTATATGGTTATATAAATGTGTAGAGGATTTGATATAAATGTGCAGAGGATTTGTTACTTGTAAATAATCAAGATAATTTTAAAAACCTTCAAAAATTCAAATTAGCCTTGTAACACCTTTTTGTGAAATTTTGGGGTCGGAGGCCCGGAAAAATTTTGGGAAAAATCCCAAAAATTTTTTCGATGTGTGTGGCGTTAACCACGCACTCCTTAATTAGAAGAAATTTTGTCGTCCCCCCCCCCGGAGCCAAAATTCTGGGTACGCCACTGGTAGACACGTATTTTAACTTAAACATTCCGTCATTTTATGCATCTAAAAGCTGTTTCGGTGATTTGTATGGTATGTGCGGCTGGTTGAACAACGCGGAAAGTCACTCTCTAGTGCAGACTAGGGAAACCCTTTGCAAAGTCAATGAAAATGAATCAGGCGTGAACTTTTTCTTTTTTTTTCTGCATTATGCGCAGAGTAGAGATTACTACTTGAGCATCGCCTGTGAAGACACACTTAAGAATAAGTTTGTATGGATTGTTTTTCAAATCCTCTGATTCGTCGAAAGCACACTCCGTAAAGATCTAAAAATAACAACTGCGAATGCGTCACGACGCAATCGCTATTGATAAATTGGCTGCAAGACCTTGTTTTTGCATCAACTCAGGCAGTGACATGGATGTAAGCCCAGCACAGCAAATTCAACTCTTTCTGGTTACTCATTTGATGGATGAATTGCAGGCACAACAGTCCTGGGCGCTATCGAGCTGCTGGTAAGCCTTACTCTTCTGATCAGTGCAGCACAGCAGGTGGTTTGGAAAAGTGGAGGTTCACAGCACTGTTCTCACAAGTAAGTCTTGCTGCACATATATGCTCTCAAAATCTTCTCAACAGGAAACGGTTATTGCAAAGTTTCATGCGTCATCGCCTAGCAATCGCGTACAGCGTCGCATGTCGACTAATATACTCCCTCGCACAGCTTCTTCCTGATGGCTTGGAAAGTGTTGTAAAAAAACCTTAGTCCAATCAACAAACGTCAAGTGCCCATATCGCCTGGCACGACGAAATCAAGCTGCTCAGTTTTCAGGTGATGATGGAAAATAACGATGCATTCTTGGTAAACAAGAACCCCGTAAGTAACGTTTGCTGATAGCAAATTCCAGAACTGCAGTGGCGATTTGATTTCTGGGTAAAAGAACTCCATTAAATATAGAGGCAAACCATAGGTGCGATAGGGGGAGCCGGGCTCTCCCCAGGTGAAGGGGGTCTCGGCTGTTCCCGACCTTCCAGGGTGAAGGGGGTATGTGAGTCGGGGGGGGGGGGGGGGGAGGAAGAGAGAAAAGGTAAAAGAGCGTGGTATGAAGAGCTCTAATTTGTACCTTATTTAGGCACAAATTGAAAAAAATTTAAAAAATCCAAAAGAATCTAAAAATTTTTAAAAAAATTGATTATGAAGATCTGTGCTCCTGTTTCACTGCATCAACAAAAAACGCAAGCAATAATGTTTATCCCAAAAGATGTACAAGTTAGGAACAATTTCATTTCCTGCACATCATCATCAACAATATCACTATCGCTAACGCCAGAGACAACAATTTCGCTGCCTGAAAAATCTTCTTCTTCCTCCAAAAGGTCATCGGAGTAGAAGTAGAATTGCGTGCAAAAGCGTTCTGAGTCCAAAATGGATTTGAAACTTTCTTCTTCTTTTACGCGCTTTTGTGATTTTTTTCTTGGCCCTCTGGTAGCACCAGGAAGTCAGCAGATAGGTGACCAGTTTCTTCATACCATCTTTTAGGATATTTCAAAAAGTCATACGGCAATAGCCTGTCTGGACCACTTATACCAATCCTTTAAATGAAGTTTTCAGATAACAATGTGTTTAGTAGAAGGTTGACAAATCTTAAGTATTTGCTTAGATGCTCTATCGTTGTAGACTTCTGCGTTGTGTTCTGATAACAGAGTAATTAGAAAATTTCTTTCTGCACCTCTGCCGTGCTAGTCGGAATGGAAACTAGCTTTGCTAGTAGGTCCATCAGATTTTTGCGGTAAGTAATGGGAAAAGAGCCAGATCTCATATGCTTTCGCAGCACGGGAAGGAAATAGTGCATACTTTTTGGGCCTTGTCGAACTCTGGCTTCACCTCCTCTGGCATACGTCCTGTTAGCTGATTAGAAAGCTGCTCAACTTCTTCTTTAACAGCATCTGCGGAATAGCCGAAAAAAGGAGGTACTATGCTGCGCGTTGGTTTTTTTTTCAATATCATAGGTCATATTGTCACAAGGTGAATAACTTTCAAAAGCATAAAGCACAGAGTTGGGTTCGCACTCCATCCTGGATCTAAGTGCAGTAACTATGCTTTGTACTAACACCATCCTTTTGTTCATATCCATGTTTGTGAATTTAGCAGCCTTGAATTCTTCAGCAACCTGAAGATTAGCAATGGACTTCCTGGACATTTCCTCATTGAAACTAGACAATTTGCTTGGATTCCTTATGCAGGAAATCAGAGAGTATCGCTCAATTGCCAACTCTGTATCAATGTCGACAACATTTTCGTCGGCGTAAGATTCTTCTTCTGCCTCGCTGTTGAACTGGAACACATGCGAGTCATCTGCGATTTTGTAAAGTATTCTTCCTGCAGCTTCCTCTTCAAACTGCCAACCTTTGCAAAACATTGAGGGATATTTTAATAACATGCTATTCTTCTGAATGTCTTAGAATTTTTGATTCATTGAAACCAACCATTCTTTACAAATTAGGTAAGGTAAGTCTAGAGCGTTTTCAGGAAAGTGACCTTCTTCAGCACTAGGTTTACAGAGTATAGATTCCAGAAATGGGCGGGTTTTTGTGTGAAGGTGTGGAAATTCACCAATCTCCCATAGTTTTTTGAGTGTGTGCTAATAATGATGGCATAACTGTCAATCAAAAGCGCATTTTTTACCAAAAAAAAAACATAAACATATAACAACGATAAGCGCGTTCAAATAGACGCGTTCGCTCGCGTTCCCGTTAGTGCTGATAACGATGTCAATCCACAGCACATTTTTTACTATCAACTTGCTCCACCTCGCTCTTATTAGGTCATCCAGAAAGTTTTTGCACATGAATTTCAAAATTCATAATTCTGATTTTTCCAACCGATTTGACTGCTTTCACTTTTATGTGAAAGGGTAAGTCATGCTCTTTATAATGACATCTCAGCTGCTTAGTAATGGTCATCTGTTGCATAGATAGGAGCGATAGAAGAAAAATGTTAAAAATTTTAATTTTTTGTGTAGGGTCATAAAAAATCGGAGACTTGCAACAAAAATTGGAGCAGTCAGTACTGTAGGTTCTTTCACCAGCTCTTTCTAACAGTGCAAAGTTTGCGCCGATTGAGCGTCTCCATGAAAAGTTATGATTTCCCTGAAAAATGCCAAAATAAATCAAATTCGCCTTTTGTACTGCTCAGACAATCGCCGGGGGCAGGCGGGCACCGGAAAAATAGATTGCTGATCTCTCGCACCCCGCTCGCGGATTTTTTGGAAAGCAATCAGGACTTTTCGGAAGACCGCTTGCTGAGTTCTCGATTCCTCAGAGATTCAGCAATATATCTGCAAAAGATAAGAGCGAAAAAAAAATTCAGCAGGCGGTCTCTCAAAAATCCGCTGACTCAGCAAGCGGTCTTCCGAAAAGTCCTGATTGCTTTGCAAAAAATCCGCGAGCGGGGTGCGAGAAATCGGCAATCTATTTTTCCGGTGCCCGCCTGCCCCCAGCGATTGTCTGAGTGCTTGCTCAGAAATTATAACTTTTCATGGAAACGCTCAATCCGAGCAAACTTTGCACTGTTAGAAACAGCTGGTAAAAGAACCTACAATACCGACTGCTCCGATTTTGTTGCAAGTTTCTGATTTTTTATGACCCTACACAAAAATTCAAATTTTGAGTGATTTTGTTTTGAGCTTCTATCTATGCAACAGATGACCATTACTAAGCAGCTGGGATGTCATTATAAAGAGCATGACTTACCCTTTCACATAAAAGTGAAAGCAGTCAAATCGGTTGGAAAAATCAGAAGTTATGAGTTTTTGAAAATCGTGCGCAAAAACTTTCGGGATGACCTATACAATGTGTTGGCTCTTATGGGTCACCAAAGCAAATGATTTTTAGAGCCGGGAAGCAAAGAAGCCCTAACATGCTGTATACCATTCGAAAGCTGAGATCATGGAGAATCGACGTAGACCGTCGACTTTTTTCTAGGTCTTCTGTGCCGCGAGATATGAGGGATTATATGTGCTTCAAAAATTAACTGATTTTGTGTCCTCACTTTCTGCTCTCCAAATGAATGCTACGAGAAAGTCGACGGTCTACGTTTGTTAATGAAGACTTGCTCTTTAACATAGATAGAAAAGCAGCAGTGATTAGGTCTTCATTTGGCAGAAATCTGCTGTTGAAAATGACCATGTTTTCAGATAAAATGCGGTGTAACTCTCGGTAGAGGGGGGCTAGAAAGAAATCGACGGTCTAAGTCGAATCCCCTTTTCCTGAGCTTTCGAGTGGTATATAGGTTGCTGGGCGAAAAAACGGACCAGTTTTCAAAAATGGGGTGGAGATATTTACTATTAGCTTGCTCCAATCCGGCTCCACCAATGTATTGGCTTTTATCGGTTACCGGAGAAAATGATTTTTAGAGCTGGGAAGCAAAGAAGCCCTAACATGCTGTATACCATTCGAAAGCTGAGATCATGGAGAATCGACGTAGACCGTCGACTTTTTTCTAGGTCTTCTGTGCCGCGAGATATGAGGGATTTTATGTGCTTCAAAAATTAACTGATTTTGTGTCCTCACTTTCTGCTCTCCAAATGAATGCTACGAGAAAGTCGACGGTCTACGTTTGTTAATGAAGACTTGCTCTTTAACATAGATAGAAAAGCAGCAGTGATTAGGTCTTCATTTGGCAGAAATCTGCTGTTGAAAATGACCATGTTTTCAGATAAAATGCGGTGTAACTCTCGGTAGAGGGGGGCTAGAAAGAAATCGACGGTCTAAGTCGAATCCCCTTTTCCTGAGCTTTCGAGTGGTATATAGGTTGCTGGGCGAAAAAACGGACCAGTTTTCAAAAATGGGGTGGAGATATTTACTATTAGCTTGCTCCAATCCGGCTCCACCAATGTATTGGCTTTTATCGGTTACCGGAGAAAATGATTTTTAGAGCCGGGAAGCAAAGAAGCCCTAACATGCTGTATACCATTCGAAAGCTGAGATCATGGAGAATCGACGTAGACCGTCGACTTTTTTCTAGGTCTTCTGTGCCGCGAGATATGAGGGATTTTATGTGCTTCAAAAATTAACTGATTTTGTGTCCTCACTTTCTGCTCTCCAAAATGCTACGAGGATGAATAAATAATATAAATAAACATAAATACCGTTTCTTTAGTAAATTTATGAGTGTACCTTGTTGTTTGAGGTACTTAGCCTGCTTTTCATAACGATTTTTATCATATTCTCAGAGTACAATACCAATCTCAGCCCAGGTGAAGGGGGTCATCGGGAGTTTGGCCTCAAAGTGAAGGGGGTAAGATCCATCACTCCCCCTTTCGCAACTATGAGGCAAACTAAATTTGGAAACTAAATCAATGAGGTTCGCTTGTTGGTCGAGCGAGGGTGGCATGCCCGGAGTTATGTACATTTCTTATGGCAGCTTCTAGTAGCCAAACCTCAATGCCTTTTCCATCAAATTATATTTCGGACTAAGATTCACGAATGCTCCCCATCCAAAAATTTATGCATTAGAATCCCTTCCGTTTGTTTAGGTTCTAATACTGTTTCGTTCTTTTTCCCGAATCTGCTGACTACCAACTTGCTGTTGTAGCGTGCCTTTGACGTAATAAATAAATTAATAAACGTACGACGCGTTACTCTTATCTCAGCCTGAAATAAGTGGCAGCTCTTCAACTTTCAATAGCAACCCTAGAACAACTGTCGCAGCTGAGAAATGGAAAATTTACTTCCCGCTCAGAAAGCAAATACTAGAAAACCAAAATCCAATGATAATAATTGCCATTTATCAGCTTTCTCGCAATAATCACAAATTAAGATAATAAAAATTTTGTAACTCTCACAGTGAAGCATTTTCTAGACGAAATGGCAGCTGCAGGTCACTGTTGATACAAACGGTCTCTTCATTCCAACAACAGAAAAAGAAGCAAAATCTTTTCTTGAAAAAAACAATTTTCATTCTCTCGCTGAGTTTATTCTGAATGCAGTCGCAAGCAACACACGAAGTTTAAAAAAGGTTTTGTATCTAGGCAGGCTTTTACTTTCATTTTTGGAAGCAGTTGTAGGCATTACAAATGAAAATGCACATTACGCACATAAATGGATTTAACTTCCTGCGCCATGATGCGACTCAACATTCTACTCTGAATCCAGTTACAAAGTGCAGAGTAAGTTTGAGTTCAAGCACCATGAAATTTTTTCAGTTTCCTTCGCGACTGTCTGATATTCCAGTTCAGCCACTTTAATGTCACACTGATTCTCGACTACATTGTGGTCTTTATGATGGTATTCATTCTAGTTTCTGTATGTTTTCCTTCCTTATAGAAGCGAATCCTTATGATTATATAGGTTTTTTGAGATTCCAAGAATAGTTACAAGTATCCGTAACCATATTTCTGAAAAATTCAGAGACATTACCATTTACCCAAAGCCTCCGAAGGTTTTGCTTTGTTCAGCCAAACTGAACATCTCACACCATAAAAGACAAATAAGCAAAAATTTCGTTGGCAAAGTTTTAGATAGTACTTCATTTCCATTATACACTTAAGAAAAAAGCTACCTAAACTATCACTATCACTAACTAAACAAACAATCACTACATGTCTCTCTTTCCAGATAGTTCTACTGTTCTGCGGAATTCTCTCCGACACTTCTAGTCTATTACTGCCGCATATTCTTATCCAAGCCATCTTTTTGTTATTTTCCATAGGATATTTCGGGTTTTATGCAGTTTCATACTTTTACGGAGATTTATATGTGCACTCAAGACCATTCACTGTAAGTTCTGCAACATTTGAACTCGCAAGATTTGTCTGTTAATTATAGTTTAATCATTTTATCGAGCGGATGTGGCTTGCAACTCTATTACTATCTTTGGCAGCCTTCCAGACTTACCTGTTCTCAGCAGTCATTCGCTGTAGCATGTATTTATCGGTGAGTGCTAATTTTTGGATTATTTTCCAATAGTAATTGCAAATTGAGCTGGGCATTTCTGCAAAAATTGGTCTGAATGTAGATTCAATTTAGCATGAAAGTGAGTGCTTCAAGCTTGTCACAGCTTCAGGAAGGAGTGTCAACCTTCCGCCACGTGTTAAAAAAAATTTGACATGTCATAGACATGTTTAACAGAATTTGTCAAGAGTCTGTGTTACTCCGCCTAGCGATTTATGCTCAATCTGTTTTTTTAAGTTAATTCTGACCTCATTTCGATAAAACAGTTCCAAGGATCACTCATAATAACGACATACTATCACTGATGAACAGATTAAACTTGCTCAGGATAGAGGAGAGGTGAGACTCCGTCATTTAAGAGGCGAAATAAGCAGCAGCAAGGTACTTTGAGCTATCGTTTATAGTCTTTTTGGCTAAATTCACGCGGCGAAAAGGACCTGAAGAAAAATACATTTTAGAATCACTGCTGAAAACAAGCAAGATGTTTTAGAATAAGTTCATTTATTTTGTGCTTATGTAAAGCAGTGAAACAGATTTAGAATCCACAAATTTTCTTTTATCCCACCGGAAATGATTTCGAAAAAGAAAACATGCCAAAATAGACCAAGACGTGTCAATTTTTTCATGACACGTGGCAAGGAGGCAGTCCTTATAGAATCTACGATAAATTATTTTTAGACTAAAAAACTTATTATATGAAAGCATTTTATAAAAATGGGTCCGGATAACGGAAAAAACCTACTTGCCCAGCTCGCGCTGCCAGAAGTTGCTTCCAAAGCGAAAAAATTGATTCAAAAATCGCTTTGGATGACGGAGTCGTCACGTTGACTCCTCCCCTATGAGTGAGCGTGCCTTCCGCCCCGCCTATTTGAACGCACTCAACCAATCGCCGTTAGGCCTCGGGCAGAGTTCACGCGATTTGATCATCACGATTCAATGGCTACAAACAAGTGTTACATTCATTGCATGCCGATCTTCTAGCATTTCGGTTGTGATAGTTTTCCAACACGACTAATCTCACTAACTATCACAACAATGCAAGAAGATCGGCATGCAGTGAACTCGTAACAGTTGTCTTGTAGCGCTTGAATCGCGACGATCAGATCGCGTGAACTCTGCCCGAGGCCTTACGTAGCTCGCCCTGCGAGAGTTCTTCCAAAAGGGGTTTGTCGGGTTTTCGCGTATTCTCGACTTAATATTCGGAATCAGGGACATGAAAAGGCCCCGGAACAACAAAAACATGGAAGCCAAGAATCTGGGTGGACGGTGTCTTCAAACGAAAGCAAATATTCTGAAGTTTTATATATATAAGCATATAAACTGTTTTGAAGTATCTCTCACAAGCACTACGAGACAGCATGGCCTTTCTGGCAGCACTTTGACGTTTAGGTTTACACAGGCTGCGCATTACTGCAGTGTCACTCTATTAGTTGGCACCTAGATAATTCAGCTTGTTATAAGACTTTGATCTTTTATGAATGTCGCGTCCATTCTTTGGTTTTATACAGATTATTATGTAAGCTACAAACTAAGCCATTTATGCTAAATTTTGTCACTGCATGTAAGAGCTACGGCAGGTTTACGGTAGAGGGGAGACTAAAGGGGAAAACACAATTTGCGTCAATGCTGAAGTATGGGTGGATTATTCAAATGCAAAAATAATTCCTGTCCCGCATGAAAATATCTTTTTGGTAAAGTTAAGCTATGATTTTTCCTTGACAACAGATAGTACCATATTCGTGTTTAGCATGTCACATTACCTGTGCAATGTCTCGGCAAATCTTTGGTTTTGCTCCAGATTTGACACATTCGACTTGTTGGGATTTACAAAAGACTATCACCTTTCTGGATTTCATTTTTGTTCAGTGAACTTAGTAAATCAATTTCTAGCAGCACGTTGCTTACAATTATCGGTATGTTTGGCGCACGTTATGCACGGCTCGTATTTGCAATGAAATCGCAAAACTCGTGATTTCACCAGTCTCCGCAGAAAGTGTAAATTTCTTCATTTTGTCATCAACCACAGTTTGTAAAGATTCATAGCACACTTCGTATCTACATAACGCCAAATTTCCTACAAAAGAAAGTTACGAATAAATACAAAGCAAAGGTGCCCACCTAATACTTCTCAGAAAGCCAAAAAATTCACATCTTATGAGGAATAGAGACAGAATATTATTTTGCACTCCAAAGTGAATGAATTTTCGCCATGTGATGTGCATTGGGAAATTTCGTTTGGGAAGACTGATGCTGTGAGCTAATGAGGAATACGTTCTGCAACCTTTGCAGCAGTAATTCGCAGAACACACCACCATTTTCGGAAAACATTACAACATGCTCAAAACTTTCGGACCTGGATTTTTCCCGGTGATGGGAAGAAGCCTAAGTCCTATTGTTTTTTACTTGCTACCATATGAATAACGTTATGATTGAATTCAAAGTCTTTGCACCATATAATCTATTTCTCTTGATTTTATGATTCATTAGTTTTGTTTATTTTCAACTTTCATCAGATGACATAAATTCGTTTCAGAGGATAGAAGAGCAACGCAGGAAGAGAGAAACCGCTTTTGAACGATGTAGCGAACGAGTGCGACTTGCCAAAGAAAATGGGTTGTGGAGGACTACTAGCTGGGGTGGTGGTTTTCAAGAGGTATGCAGGAAACAAGTTTCTATGAAAATGCAGACTGGAGTCAGTGATGACAACTTCTTCCACCGAGAGAGAAGCTGGTGGATATAATTTAACAGGAAGCGTAGCGGCCATACCTTAAGAAGAAGTTGTAACAGCCAATCAAAATCAAAATCGCTTCGGAATAGCGAAGATGCACGAGAACCCCCATCCATGCCCGCTCATTTGTGCGCGCTCATCCAATCACCGTTCTGGAAAGCCGGCCTGTGGGGATTTTCGCGGATTCTCGACTTCATATTTGGAATCAGGGACATGAGAAGGCCCTGAAACGACAAAAACCTAGAAGTCGAGAATCTGGGTGCACAGTGCCTTCAATCGTTGTGCTAATAAGGGAAGCATGTTTAGTCGAAGTGACCTTTTTAGCTGGGATGTATACGGTATTGAAAAGCATAAGGCGCTTATTTCAAATCTGCCTTTCTCATCTGCGAACATTTGTGGACGAGGAGTTATAAGCGTTTATTAGGGCAAAATTAAAAGTGCATTAAAGATAAAATAGGGTGTCAAAATCTCACTGGAACTCCCAAACAAAGCAATCAAGTGTGATACATTCTTTATTTTATGTATTTATTGAATAAAGTGCTCTGGTAATTGTCACTGCTCCATCAAAACGCTGTAGAAAATACATCTATTCTTGTCCTACTTTCACTCTATTTTTCGCTCCTAACGCTCCTAACACTCCTCTTGAAGCAATTGTTATAATTGAAACGTATTTTAGTACAAAGGTCAGTACGATGAGAGCAAACCTAAGAAAGCACCGAAACAGAAGAGCGTACACGTTCAGTGGTCGGCTACTTTGAGAAGATCTGTCGCAGGAGATGACGAAACAACAATCAAATTGTTGTAAGTTCACAAAATCGGCATAGTCTTCGTTTGTTCATGAAAAAAATTGTTTCTAGAGATTATGAGAGGAAAACAAAAAACGATATGCACGAACCTCTGCTAAAATTAGAATCTGTGGATGAAAGTCCCGAAATGAAGCCGGCAAGAGTTGGCAGCCACAAGCAGCATACACACGATAAGGAAGTGACGCGAAAGGTACTTCCACAAGTCATCGATTTCTGTTTCCTATTATACTTTAGCGGTCGGATCAACACACTCACTCCATTGATCAACCTTCGACGTCAAAAACACCAGCACCACCAACAACGCGGCCATCTGGGCCCAGACTGGAGAAGCAAGTATCGCGAGAAGGTCATCGCAGAGGTAGCACTTCTTCGACGAGTCCCCATAGACGAAAAGATTCTCAGTCAAGCGTCGGCGTCGTTGAAAGGTGAGGAATCCAATCGTGACTACAGTCTGTCGCAATCCGAATAGGCCGAAACTTGCCGTAAAGTAGCGCGCTCGCAGCGCTGGCGGCTTGCGCTGCATAGGCACGTGCCATACTTGATCCGCTCAGTCGATCCGCTTCGTCACTGGTCAATTCAGTGAGACCAATAACGAAGCGGTTGTCCACTTAACCGCTTCATTTACTTCACTATTGCTTACTAGGGGAAGATCTACAGTCGAAATCGGCTTTCCAAATGCGATACAGTCTGTCCTAATCCCAACCAGGCCAAAATTGGCATGGCGGGAGTCGTGTCACGAGGGTATTGCGTCACATCTAGGGCTAACTAGTCTGCTCTCTTCTCAGGCTCTTCGCTCTCAGCGACAGCGCGCGTATGAAGCGCAAACTTCTAGTGCTGCGAGCGCGCAAACAGTTCGGCTTGATCCAGATTCGGGACTGGATATACCAATGTGGATTTCAAAACTGCCGTTGATTTTTGCAAAGTGCCTTCATACGCCGAGTTATGAGTGATTTCTGGAGCGAAAAATGATAAAATCTAGGCAAATCAATGGTTATGGTCTTTCCAGCGCTTTAATAAAGAAGTTTGAGTACGAGTATATTAAGCAGAGATTTTTCAGGCATAGAGTGCCCTAACCAATGCTGGGCCATTTTTGTAATCTTAGGCGAATTTGTTCCAATTGCGCGTTCAGTTTCTTGAGCCAAAAACGCTCTCAAAGCCTCTAGAGGCTCCTGGCAGATAACAAGACATTTCTGGAATCAGATGATGCTCCTCAGATTGGTATATATATATATCTTATATATAAAGATGAATGTCTGTTTGTATGTATGTCTGTATGTCTGTATGTACGTATGTTCCGAATAGAAAATTCCATTTCTGAACCGATCGAGACCAAACTTAGCACACATACACTTCGGGCCCCGGCGGGTGTCATGGGCTACTTTTCGTCATCGATCGATATCGATTTTATCGATTTTTTGCAAAATTTGAGCTAGGGGGCTGGGAGTTGGCACAGGGGGGTAATCGAGCATGCTGATCACCCCCTAAAATCGACATCGATCGATAACGAAAAGTGGACTGTGACACCCGCCGGGGCCCGAAGTGTATGTGTGCCAAGTTTGGTCCGGATCGGTTAAGAAATGGAATTTTCTATTTGGAACATACGGCGGAGCCGGGTAGGCCAGCTAGTATATATATATATACCCTCGATATCATCCCATATGTCTTCCCTCAACATGACGTGGATTACATGGCTTGATGAGGCGCCGCCTCGCCTCGGGCTCGCGCCACGTTGCGAGCGCATCATTTGGCGCGACGTGGGGCTCAACACAACGTGGCGCAGGCTTTTCCACGTCCTTCTTGTTGCCACATCACGCCGAAAATGCGCACGCAACGTGGCGCAAGCCCGAGGCGAGGCGGCGCCTCAACAAGTACTCTGCGTTGATACCACTGCTTAAGACATATGGGATGATATCGAGGGTATATATATATATATATATATATATATATATATATATATATATATATATATATATATATATGTATATATACAAGGTGTCCGTAAAGTATGTATACCCTGTTTGATCGTTAATATCTTTCTTCCCAACAAGTCTTTTGCCTTGCTTCAGGTACCGTTTTGTAGAGCTGGCTTCAACTTAGATTTACAGTATGGAGCGAATCACCGATCGCTCTTCATTACTGTAATTTTACGGTAGAAACTTGAAACATATGTTGTCAATGTGGAAAAAAGCTGCCGTCTCAAAATTTTTCAAAAAAATGTGAAAACTTGTGTGATAGGGTTTTTATGGACGCTGAGTTCAATACTCAACTATTCGCAAGATTGCGAAGATTTCTAAACGGTGTAACCGCACTTTTTAGGAGCATTGAAAAAGTGGCCGCTCAGAATCAACAACTCTAATTAGCCTAGTGTAGAAGCTTTCAAGCTGTTTTGTTTTCTTTGTGAGGTAGAATATGGCCTTTCATGGCTCAAAACCCTCTTCGAAGTTTCTACCGTAATCCTGCAGTAATGAAGAGAGATGGGTGATTCACTCCATACTGAAATCTAAGTTGAAGCTAGCTCTACAAAACGGTACCTGAAGCAGCAAAAGACTTCTTGGGAAAAGAGATATTTACGATCAAACAGCATACTTTACGGACACCCTATATATATATATATATATATATATATATATATATATATACATATATATATACATATATATATATACATATATATATATACATATATATATATATATATACATATATATATATTGAGTGGGAAGCTGATTTCGACTTTGGGTCCTCCTCTTCTCACTGAATTGACCAATAACGAAGCGGATCAAGCGGATCAAGTCTGGCGCTTGCCTAAGACGCACTTTTCTCTTCGTTGAAAGCGGCAGCTCGGCCGCGTCCCCTTGCCGCGCGGAGTTGCGCTTCCCTCTCCCGCATAATTCTTTTATGTAAGGCGCGCCATAGAAGGCTAAGTGGTCGCGAAACCTTTTGACTGAATTAGTCTGGAGGACAAATAGAGCGCCTTGTATGAAAATATGATATAGCTGCCCATGCCCATCTAAGTATAGGCCTTAAAATCCAATTGCCCGCGCCTCGTCGGAACACCATCGCGCGTAGTGGGTGGAGACGTGGGATCCCGGAGCGATGTAGGCTAATGACAGGCATCAGTGAGCGCGCACCTCTTTTATATAAGCTACTGCAAGACGAAGGCGGTCGAATCAATGCGCAACGCGGCTGCGACATGGCTGCGTCACAGCCGAGTCACAGCCGCGTCACAGCCACGTCGTACCTCGAACCGACCGCCTTCGTCTTGCAGGAGCTTATACACATTTTTGTAAACTCTCAAAGGCAGCACTTGGCTAAATAGACTGTCCCAAAGTTTTGTCCGTTTTTTCAAACCACTATGAAACCAAGCACAATAAAGACCTGAATGAGTTTCAACATGCATTCGATGCAACTTTTCTTTCTCTTTGCTATGGATAGATTCTCGAAGCACAGCCTTGTATGCTTTTTTGATAATTGCCAAAATTCTTTACCCGTCAATTTTATACGCTCAAAGTTAGGCTAATTTTTAAAAATTTCATTCCAAACATTCAAGAAGGGTTAAATGTGATTTAAATAGACCAATTCTCGGACTACAAGAAAATATTTTTAGATTCTCTTAATCTGCTGTTTTTAGCTTCAAAAAATATTTCAAAGGAGGTCTTGATCTTTGGCAAAGTCATGAAACACAAATGCAGCAAATACACGAGGGCTTTTGAAGTTACCGCGAATTGAAACATGGTTTTTCTCAAACATTATTTATGCAACATAACCCAGTTTGATTTGCTTTGAAAAAGCACTTTTTAGAATTTTTGGTACTTTACGTGATTGAACGCAATCAAAAAGCCGTGGTTTTCATCAAATAAATAATCATGACGGACTTGGTAAACGTGGCTTATGTAATCTAAAATAGACACAAAGTAGCCAAAGGTTTGCTCTACATAATAATCAACAGCGCTCTTTGAAAATACCAAGATAAAATTATTTAAAAATTCAGGAAAGATTTGGCGTTATGCTGAGCTGCTCAAAAAGCCATGGCGATAATATTGCAAAGACAGGGTAGATGAGAGAGCAAAATAGCCGTAAGAGAGAGGATAGAAATCTAAATCAAATGGTACCTAATAGTCCATTAATTGGTGTTCTGTGAGTTTTAGTGAGCGGTGAAAAAAAAACGGACAAAGCTTTCGGGACAACCTAATATACTGTGCAATGTTGAAAACAAGATGGATGTTGATCGTCAAATTCATGAGTAAATAGATCGCCTATAGTAGTTCGCGACAACCGCTCGCCTATGGTGATGTTCAAGGGGAGGGCATTTAGATTTTACAAGGCCTATACAAGCAAGTCTTTTACACAATAAATACAGCGCAAGGCTTTTTGTCCAATGGCGTAGTTTCGTCACATTTACAAGGGAAGGACACTTGGTGACCATGGCCTTTCGAAATGAAAAGTATGATTGTCTCCACCATAGGTGTAGAGGCGGGTTGCGGACTTTCCCTGATTGTAAGAATGAACTTGTTAAATCTCCAAATTATAGCATTGTTTTTCGTACTCTCTCGCTATCAAAAACCGCCACTCCTTGAGTTGGCAAAACTCCGCCTCTACACAAATCGTGCAGTCGGTGATACACCATTAGAGGCATTTTGAAGCTCTTGATTGCAAGTCTGCCTTCGGTATGTGTTGTGCGCTCTTGCGAAAGAAGTCATGAACATTTCTTCCCGCCAAATTTTCTGTTTTAATGGCATGTTCAACATTATCGTTAGAATGGTTACTTACGCACTACAAAAGCGTCCCATAGAATAAAGCTTCACGTCGAAACTTAGGAAACCTATTCCCGATATATCTTAGTCTAAAAAGCCTCGGTGCTGACGATTCTGACTGCCTAGATCTCGTGATAATATGGAAAAAAGCCCATAACTTCGTGCAGAGAATCGCTCAACAGGGCAGGTGAGAACACAGATTTGGAATTATCGTTTCAAGGCGCATCTATTGGCATACACCTCATTGCGGAAGGCTACGGTCATCAAGTATCTTTCCCTCGTAAGTTTTCTTTGTGAGCTAACAAGTGGTTCAGCCTAAGAGTTCCAAGCACACCCCAAAACGCCGATCAAACGAACTGTTCCTTTCCAAAAACTTTCCTTTACTGCATATGCACACATTCAGAACCTCCAGACATGACATTCGTTCAGGCGAAGAACGTCTTCGAGTCCGCGAGCTTCGCTGAAAAAACAGAAAAGCGTTGATGTGGAGGGAGCACATCCGGCTGCTGTTTATAAAAATAGATCATCACAAGATTCTCGAAGGTTAGTGCACATTCTGTCTGTTACATGTAGAGTAGCAGCGGCTTGGCATTTTGATCAAGACTAAATCTACATACACTTCAGTAAATTACATCCTTGTAGAGCCGATGATAACAACATTTGCTCGAAAAAGACACGCTTGTGGATGCCGATAACTTGCTTGCATTTGCGCATAAAAATGTCCACAAGGCCTAAAGCATACCTTGCGCGATCTGGGAGAGACGGTCAAAAGGCGCGATTTCTCCGGCTGTCACTAACTTTAAACTCCAGTTTAGTGCTATGCGAGTCTTCAAAAAGTACCAAAAAAGTGACAAGCTTACCATCTGTATGAGGTTACCACCTGCTGAGTTTGGTGGCTTTTGCTGGAAATCGGACAGAAATATTCATAAACGAGCTGGCAAACCCGGCTCCGACCGGTCCCGTCAATAATGTATTCGAATCAGCATGTTCACTTACCCCCTCCCCACCCTGCACACCCCGCACACCGTGAACACCCTGCAAACCCTGCACATCCTGCACCCGAATGTGCATAAACACACAAACTCACAGATTTTCTGCTTTATATATATAGAGATTTGTTCTTAATTGCATTTTCATGGGTTTTTGACCTTGAAAATTGCTGTTCTGAACCGATTTGAAAGTATTAGGATTGAACAACCCCTGCAACTATCTAATACATCTCATCTTGGAATTTGAATATTTCTAGAAAGTCGTAAAACACTTATTATGTGCCATTTGGTGTCCTTCTGGCAATAAAAATCGCGCCTCTTGACATACACTCGCTTCCGTAAGTTATAACAAAAGCTTCAAGTCTGACTCATGCAAAGCGCGCTTCTCAGACAATTATTGCGAGCATCCGCGGTCCCTTCCGTCGTTTTTTGGCGGTGCGCGAGCGCTAATTTCTTGGACTGACCATCCGCGACCCTAGATTTATTTGTGTGGCAAGCCGCGGCTCAATTTTATTCGCGAGGGAAAGTCCAGCGTCGGGAGCACCAGCATTTCCGCACACGCGCGGCCGCTTCGCCTGGACTCTGCACCTCTTTCGCGTTAGGCTCGCTGGCCACTTTCCCACCGTGAGCGTGGGAAAGGCAGAGCTTCAATCAAATGGATATCAGTTGATAAACCATGTATGTAAATACATACAACTCAGAGACATTGGCAAAAGTCTCACCTCTCTGCGGAGCATTTCACTTGACGAAATTTCAGTCATTGCGAATTTACACAGAGTACCGCGAAGTAAGGTATACGGCTTCAGTTAAATGCCGTCATATGTATGAGAAAAAGCCAGTCGAGTAGTAGAGTTGGAAAACGCGGTTGCCAAAAGTGCGTACGGACCCGCGCGGCTCACTATCGGCCCCATATGTGCGAATCATTTGTAGCTTGATATGTGACCCTAACAGTGCGCGGCACAACCGAGAAACTAATGAAAGCTTCCTAGCATAACAAATTGTGGAACTGCGAACTACTATTTCAAAGTCATCTAATCAAGCTCAAAATAGAGAGGAAAACAAGGAGGAGTCTCCTGAGATTTAACATATTTTAGTTGAGAAGTCGTAAGGGCGCCCATTTTGTGCATAATGCATATTGAGTTACGAATGACTCGAATGGTAGCCATAACGAATCTTGGATGTGTTCACCCTGACATAGGCTGTATAATCGCAGCAGCCGTACGCAGAACACACACCCACCATTAGACATTCTCGGAATAGTTTAGCCATAGAGTAGCCCACTGTTTTTTCTGCTTCGCCCGCATGGATAAAAGCTACGATTGTTTTGTGGTATCTACACTCCGACTCAGTCCCGCGCAATTGCCTCGCCTAAGGGAGCTTCCAGACCGCGCCGGTTGCCGCTATTGCAGCCGAAGCGCAGTGGGTCAAGCCATTGTTTTCCTGGCGCGCGTGTGGCGCGAAAACTCATTGATGTATATTTTCTGCGTTTTTTACATCTGTTTTCATTTTGTTTGTTATAGTTTGCTTTGGAGGTACGAGTTTTTGGATAGTGGTTGATCGAAGACTTGAAACATTACCGTTGAGGACAGATGCGCTAAGTATCGCCTATATTGACCAGAGTTTACGAAGTGACCTGTTTATTCCTTTTTTCAATCTTTATTGAGCTCAAGTTTTGTGCTTTGTGTGAATGATGCGGCTAAGGAAGCTGCATGCAATGTTGAAGAGCATTTGCGCAATTATGATGAGGCATGGGTGCAAGCATAGAAAACCCCATCACCTACAACATATATTGAACTAGGGCGTAAATACGTTACCCACTCCTAAAGTTCCTTGCTACTTACATTTTCGTTTTCGTGTTGAGCTCAAATTTCATATTTGTTGTGGGTTATGCGGTTTGCTTACTCCGCGCATCATTATGGATTTGCACAAATGCTTTTCAGTATCTCACCCAGCTTCTCAATAGCATCATTCACAAAAGCGTGAAGCTTGAGCATAACAAAATTTGAAAAAAAAAACGCAGTGAACAATTCATTTTGTGAACTCCATCTGAATTATGCTACTTAGTGTATCTGTCCTCAACGATAATGTCTCAAGTCTTCGATCAACCATAGCCTATAACAAACAAACAGATGGAAAAAACGCAAAAAAATATATTGATCAATGAGCTTCCGCGCCACACACGCGCCAGGGAAACAATGGCTTGACCCACTGCGCTTCGGCTCAATAGCGGCAACGGGCGCGAAGGCGGCTAATGGCTGCAAAAGCGGCAACCGGCGCGGTCTGGAAGCTCCCTAAACTATGCGCCGCACTATCATTATTGTGTCGTCTGAATTAGGAGTGGGAAGATGTCAGAGCTCGCCCCTGAATGCGGCGCAGGGAGGCGAAGCAACCACGCGACACCCAAGCCGCTCACGTCGAGCTCAGTCCGAGGCCCGTATGCACGTAAAGGGCTCCTAAATTGCAGCGTCGTTTGCATCAGCGGCGCCGGTCCCGCGCGACCGCGTCGCGTCCGGGCATTCCGTCAGGCTTCGACGATGGAGCCGGCGCCGGCATTGTATTTTCTCGGCCGTTTCGTCTCTTTTTGTTTTTTTTTGCTCATTGAGCACTCCGAGCCTCATCATAATTTTGCGAAGTAGTCACATGCCGGCAATCGGCCTCACAGTTCCTTCGTACCCCTAGGTTGTTTTTTAGGATTCTCAGCATGACAAAAAAGTTATTGTGGCTTAGTCAATTCGGAGAGGTACGGGTGTGTCACTTACTCACTTGCTCAACTTTAATCTTTTCTATGATAGGTATAATATCATGGAAAACATGATAGGTATATGATGATAGGTGTAATATCAGAACAGTCTCTAAATGTGCACGGTTTTTGTGAGTGTGCCATGTGCAAGTTACGGATCGATTATTTGTTTTATTGCGCTGTTCTTTGCTTACATCGAACTGAAGCAAACCATGGTTGCGGAATATAGCAAGCTTTCCTCCTACCGTTGAAAAGTCAACAAAATTCTTTATATGTTACTAGCTGGCAAACCCGGCTCCGCCCGGCCCTGTCATTATTATATTCGTAATCAGCATGCTCGATTACCCCCCTGTGCCAACTCCCAGCCCCGTAGCTCAAATTTTGCAAAAAATCGATAAAATCGATATCGATCGATAACGAAAAGTAGCCTATGACACGCTCCCTGCCCCGAAGTATATGTGTGCCAAGTTTGGTCCCGATCGGATCAGAAATAAAAATTTCTATTCCGCACATACGTACAGACAGACAGACAGACAGACAGACATACAGACAGACAGACATTCAGCTTTATATATAAGATTCTGCAACATAAAAGGAGCACATTGTCCTGCAGTTTGCTAGAATTTGGGAAGTTCCCTGAAGCAGGAATGGCAGCTGTATCACATTAGGTTTGAATATTGCTGCAAATTAGGTGTACGACGCTCAGTTCTTCACTTCATACACGAAATGGTCAGACTTCGGAGTGAGTGCATCTGCTAAATTTACTTGCACATGCTCACCAGCACACCTGTACCTCTCCGAATTGACTGAGCCACAATAACTTTTTTTGCCATGCTGAGAATTCTGACAAGAAAAGCGCAATGAAACAAATAACCGATTCGTAACTAGCACTTGGCAAATCACAAAAACCGTGAACATTTAGAGACTGTTCTGATATTACACCTATCATCATATTATACCTACCATGTTTTCCATGATATTATACCTATCATAGAAAACATTAAAGTTGAGCAAGTGAGTAAGTGACACACCCGTACCTCTCCGAATTGACACCTAGGGGTACAAAGGAACTGCGTGGCTGATTGCTGGCATGGGACTACTTCGAAAAATTATGATGAGGCTCGGAGTGCTCAATGAGCAAAAAAACAAAGAAAAGAGACGGGTCGAGAAAATACAATGCCGGCGCCGGAATTGTATTTTCTCGGCCAAGGCCTGGCAAAATGCCCGGCCTTAGCCGAACAAAATGCGACGCGCTCGCGCGGGACCAGCGCGGCTGGTGCAAACGACTCTGCAATTTAGGAGTCCTGTATAGGCTGCTGCATGACGAAGGCGCATCGTCATTGGGCGCAAACACGGCTTTTTTAGCCGCAGAGCGCATGAGGCGCAGGACAGTATGTTCCAATTCGGAGTAGGCGAGGCATTTGAAGCGGAGCAGCGCGTCCGCATCGCGAGAGGCATTGCGAGCGGACAGTCCTGGCATTTTGCCAAGTAAAGATTGATGGAATGAAGAGACACAGACATGGATTATTGTCACAATTTGACATACTGTAGCTGCGAAACGCCGCGAACTATTGCGAGGCGGATTCCCGCCAATCCAATTTTCGCCTAAACAGGATTGGAACTTACGTATAGGAGCCATAAAACCTAATTGCCCGCGCCGTGCCTTCAAAACCAGCGTAAGCGAGCGGTCGTCGCGAACGACTGTCAGCGTTTACTATCAGGAAATCTTTCTTTAACTTTCATGTTGTTCTCGTCAATGCAAAGTATATCTTGACAAAGGGTCCCTTCAAAAGTTTAAAAAAATATGTATGGAA